CTGCTGACAGGGGGTGTGCATGGGGACCACCCAGGGACGATGCCCAGCACCCCCGGCCGTGCCCACGACGCCCCACACCAGAGCGTCCCCGGCCCACGGTGGCCACAGTGAACAGGCCCAGAAACCCCGCTCACCGCAGTAAAGGCGTCGTAAGAAACTGCGCTGCTGATGCAACGCCAGTGGCTCGGTGGGGGGGGACATCCCTGCCCCCGGGGCAAGCTCCAGCCCCCTGCCCACTCCCAGTCGGCCGCCGCGGGGTCTCCAAGCCCCAAACCTGCCCTCGCCCGGCCCACCGAGGAGGGTGTGGGTCCCGGGCGAGGGGAAACGCAAGCGGACGACGGGACTAACCGACCCGCAGTACCAGTCTCGCCCCCCAGGGGGCGACCCGCTGGGCAGCCAGCTCCCCGGTCCCTCGTCGCTGGTGACCCCTTTGGAATACACGCGTGAAACCAGCTGGTGAGACACTGCGGGACACGCCCACAGCGGCGATTCACAACCCGCAGGCACTCCAGCCCATCCCCGGCCCCGCACGGAGCCGCCCAGCGACCATTTCTGGGCGGAGAGCCGTCCTGTGCTCTGGCTGTGGACACGGTGGGGGGGGGGACACCTTTCTCCAGGGGGAGTTCGTTTGCGAGGATAACTTCACGGAGGGAGGGGCGGGGTGCGTGTCCTGAAACCCGGGCACGTCCCCGGGAGCTTCTGGAGCGCCGTGAGCCCGCCGGGGATGGTGGTGGGAGTCGCCGCAGCCCCGGGGCGGGGGCCGCACCGCGCAGCTGAGCAGCACCAGGGGCGCGCGCCCAAGGCGCAGGGAACGCGAGGGACCCACACTGGGTGTACTCACTCTCGCTTGGAGCGGGGCGGGGAAGGCTCCCCTCCACGCCTCGCCCTTCTCCTGCGCGGAGAGAGGGAGGGAGGTGGGACTTCACAAAGAGCCGGACGCACGCGCGGGAGGGGCAGAGGGGGAAGGAGAAGCTGGCCTCGGCCACTGGCCTTCCCAGCCCCAAGACGGGCGGGTGCGTCCGGTCTTTGGCAAGGGGCCCGGTGCGCTGGCTGCGGGGCCGGTGCCGAGAGAGACGAGGCCGTCCGTCCGTCCCGGGGTGTCCCTCTGTGCATCGGACGGAGGGGACGCCAGCCGTGCCGGACGGCGGGAGAGACCTGGTCTCGGGACCCGGCTCGGCGGATGAGTACATGGCTGGGCGGGCGAGAGGCAGGCGGGGCGCTTAGAAAGCTGGAGCAGCCGCCGCCTGGGCGTGTCTCGGAGGCCTGTTTGGAGTGTGGCGCGTTTCCCGCGTGGAAAGGGAAACCCCCTTCCGTCAGGTCCACCTAGGAGCTCTGTCCTGTCCTTCCATTCCGTGGAATATGAGCAGGGGGACGCCTCCCCTCCAGGTGGCACACACAGGTCCCCAAGAGGATGCCGGGGACATCTTTGCGTGACATCGGCTCCCCCCAGGCCCCTGCGTTGAAAATGCCTGTCTTATGCCTGTCTTATGTGGGATCCGAGAGAATCAAAACCACATGAACCGGCCGGTTGGCCAACAGGATACACCAAGAGGGGACCCAAGAAATCCTGAAATTACCTTCTGGACGACCGGCCCCTGGTAGGACGGGCGCCCCCTGCTGGGGGAGTGTTCCGGGGACCTGCATGGAGCAGTGTGCCAGCTGGTGTTGTTGTGAGAGGCTGAATTCGGCTGCAGTGGATTTTTTTTTGTTTTTGTTTTGAAGAAACAAAACGCGTTTGCCCACTTCACGACGGGGGGGTTTACGAGTGGACCTGCACAACCAGTGCTGAGTGTTCAGCAGCTTTTGACCCAAAACGGCATGACCCCTCCGCCCCACCCTCCCTTATTTACCCATTCTTGCTCCGAGTCACTATTTTCACTTCCCCGGATGAGGAAAGTCCTCAGAGGGAAACGTTTTGGAGGAGAGGAAGAGCTGAAACACAAAACAGCAGAGGCACCAAAAAAAAAACACCCCAAAAACCAGAATCGACGTGTTCAGGAACCGTTTTGCGCCGTGAAACAAATGTCTGCACAGGTGTAGCGCATCCAACGGAGAGTCCTTCGAAGGGGACGGCAGTGTAAACATGTCAGGGCCAAGACACCATGTTCCGTAAATGAGTTCCGGGTTTTTTGGGGGGGCTGCCCCCTTTGCAGAATACCCAAACAGCCCCTGTCCACAGCCTCCCTCCGAGTCAGGCTGGCGCTGCAAAAGGGGGAGAGTCCACTTTCACTGCGCCCACAGTTTTCTGTTCAAAGTCCCCAGGACCACGTACAGCCACATTGCCACGTCCCCACGTTGGGAGCCTGATATTTCGGGGTCCCGTCAGCAGCCCGCCGCGGACCCCCAGCTGCGTGAGGGGAAGAGATGCGTCCCATTCGGCTCTGAGCTGCGGAGTACGTGACGCAAATGCGTGAATGAATGAATGAATGAATGAAGAGTGAATGAACGAATGAGTGAATGAATGGACGGATGGATGGGGTGGTGCGTCCCCCTGCAGGGTCCGAAAGGAACTCACTGAGGCCACCCCGAGGGGCCACACAAGAGTGGCTTTGCGGAGAGGACAGACACATCGATGTGAGGGGTGGATGCACAGAGCTCGATCCGCCGCCCCACCCCCCACACCAGGCACAGACTCGAACCCAGAACGTGCGGCGCCCAGCGCGCCCCGACGACGCCAGCCTCACTCACCCAGGAATCCACCGGGAGCGTCTCCGAGCCCCGAGGAACGCGACGATCGGGTGGGGAGGGACCCCCCACGTCCACATCTCAGAGCCATGCTGTGTCTCCCTCACAGGGAGGAACAGAGGCATCCGGGCGACCGGGGTCCCACAGCATCCAGGTCCGTCTGGCGGCCCCGCCCGTGAGCCTGGGGACCGAGCACCTGTCGGGGGCAGGGCCGGCAGGTTCGGCGTCGGAGGGACGGAGGACGCCGGGACTCAACCTGCCGCTCCGTCTTGCGCCTGCCCTTGGGAACCCAAAGCCAAGGGCAGCTGGCACTTCCGCCCGACGACCGCCAGGGGTGGTCCCGGGGTCTCCGAAGACCTGCAAACATCCCCGAGATGGGGGACTTGCTAGAATTCAAGATCCTGTGGGCTTTTATTGTTTTATTTTTCCTTTGGTGCAGCACCCTGGTTGTTGGGCAACAGTAGGTAAGGCACGTCTGAATCTCCCCCTGGTAAACCAAGTGGTTGTGGCCGTGACCCTCCGGACTCGGGGCCGAGGGGGAACCGCGACACGAGGCCGGAGGTCCGGAGGTGCCCGCGCGCGCGGAAGCTGCGCTCGGCACGCGCCTGGGCCCCGGGGCCTCGGACGCGGCCGGACCGGAGAAGGCGGTTGGAGGAGCTGGAAGGAAACTCGGATGCGCGGGCAAAGGGACCCTGGACACTGCAGTCCCGTTCCGAGGGGCCGCAGCGGAGCGAGCGGACCCACTTGCGTCGCAGGACGCTCGGGGAGCTCTGGGCCGCTGCTGAATAGCCCGCGTAGGCGGGGAGAGCGGCAGCTCCGCCCACAGCAGCGCGCGGTCTCAGAGGCGGAGGCGGACGCACGTGTGATGGGCTTCATCAAGTCTCCTGAACGTGGCAAGGGACAGGCGTTCCCGGGCAACTCCGTGGCCGTCACAGGACACGCTCATTCCGCGAGGGTGGCTGCGGGGGGCACTGTCCAGGGGGACACGCCACCCACCTCAGGACGAGGAAGCAGCGGCGGACACAGCCGCGACTCCCGCCGCCGCTGCCTCCTCCGGGAAGCCCTCCACAGCAGAGCAGCCGGCCGCACTTCCAAGGCACCGTGGGGTGGTTTCGTGGGACTCGGTCGCCTCGGGAAATGGACAGCCAGCTGCCCAGAGGCCACGGGTCTGGGAACGCAGGGCCCCGCCAGCAGCATTTCAAGAGCGTTGGCAAAGGGTAACCTGGGTGCAGCGGTGGGGGGGGGGGTGCTTTGGCACATCCAGGATCCACCTCGGGGGACACCCAGGACCCTTCCTTCCCTGACCGGGGCGTGAGGAAGGTGGGGCAAGGCCAGTGCCCAGTGAGTGGCCCAAAACATTCGGACGCTGGATTTTTTTGCTTCTAACAAATGGCCCGCGATTTGCTGGTGGCGAAAACCTCAGGAATCCATCCTCCCCCTCATTCTGGAGACCAGGCGTCTGAGGTCACCCAGGGGTCCCGGGGCTGTGCTCCCCCCACAGGCTCCTGGGGGGGGGGTCCTTCCCACCTCTCCCAGCTCCTGGGACCCGAGGCGTCCCCTGGGCTGGTGGCCGAGTCCCTCCCTGTCCCCTCTGCCTTCTCCTCTTCTGGAACCGAGTGACCCTCTCCTTTTCTCTCTCTCTCTCTCCCACCCAAGCTTGGGCTGACTCTGGCCTCCCTGACCAGCCGGGGTTATCGGTTCATCCGAAGCTCCGCTTTCCACCTGACAAGACGCCCCTGTGCAAAGAAAACACCCCCAGCTCTGCGGGTTACAGCGTGGACGTGTGTTTGGGGGCGGCCGCCGCCTGGTGCACGTCACAGGCGACTTAGATGGGAACGTGAACCACCCACCACGGCCCTCGTCCCCTCGTCCCGGGGGCCCACAGGGGCGGCCTCGGAGGTGAGCTGTCCATCCTGCAGACACCGCAGGGTCCACGAGGAGCGGTCAGTTCTGCAAGGACTCTGTCCTGGTCCCACACCGTCGTCCACCGTGGCTCGGGGGACATGTCCGCAGGGGAGAGAGGCCCGAGTCCACGAGAGGCGCCCTCGGGCCACCGTAAGACGAGGTGGGTCACACCAACCCTGAGCAACCGGCCGAGGAAACAGACTCACGCCTGTTTTTTTCTATCGGGGTCCCCGGCGTCCAAGCCAGACCTCCCGAGGAATGAGGAGGGTGGGAAGACACGGCCAGCGGGGACCCCCAAAGCACCGATATCCCAGCAGCAGGCTCTGGCCTGGGAAAACCTTCGCCTGCTGGGGCTGCGTGTCCAGCCCGGCCTGCTGGTCTACCCGGTGCCGCGCAAGCAACGCCCTGCGTGCGCAAGGGGAGCGTTTAATTACTGGTGGCACCTGGAACCCTTCGACACTTTGGCATCACAAGGTGTGGGGTGAGGGCCCCCCCTGCTTGGTGCAACACACCGTGGGACCTTTGCTCTGTGAGGCCCCTCAAAGGCCAGGTGAGGGCGGCGGCCGGGGGACCCTTCACTCGCTGGCCTCCTCCCGCCGGGGCAGCCGCCCCTCGAGGATGTCGGGGGTCCCGTCCGGGACGGCGGTCAGCGCACAGCTTCTGGCCCAGAGTCCCCGCTGCAGGTCCGGGTCGTGGGTGACGGCCAGCGACGCGATCTCCTTCTCGTTGTAGAGGTAGCGGCCGCCCAGGCCCTCCAGCGCGGGGGCGACCGCCGTGTAGACGGGGGTCCAGGCCCCTTCGTCGGGGGTCTGCGGGGGGAGAAGGCCAGGGTGCGTCAGCGGCGGAAGCGGAGCACTGGGGTGTCCCCTTGCTGCAGTGGGCTGCGGTGGGGTGACACCGGGGGGGGGGTGTGTGTGAGACAGGGCCCCGCCCCCGGGTCCCCGCCCACTCAGGGCGCCGGGATGGGAGGGCACCACCCATCCTCAGAGCTGGTGGGTTTCTTTATAACAGGAGCCGCTGAGGACCCACAGCCCCGTGGGTCGTTTGGGAGACAGACGTGCCTACAGACTCCCGCTGCAGCCGCGGCCGGGTGGCTCACCAGGGTCGGAGCGCCGTCCCCAATACGCCAAGGTTACGGGTTCGAGGCCCGGTCACGGCACGTGCAAGAATTAACCCAGGATGCCTCAGCACACGGGATCACAAACCGATGTTTCTGCCTCTCTCTCTCCCTCTCTCTCTCTCCCTCCCACCCCTGTGCGCGCTCTCTCTCTCTCTCTCAAATTCATAAATAACAATGAAAAATTCCCGATGTAAAATATTCAGCTCAACCACTCCTTCTGAAACCGAGACACGTATCAATTGCCTCAAAGAACATGGACGTGTCTGGAGCCCCTGGGTTTGATCCGCAATATTGAAAGAGCCAAGTGGGGGTGGCCGCCGGGATGAGGCCAGGGCCCCCCGTGTGTCAGGCGGGGGTCCGAGGCTCACAGAGGGGTATAGCCGCTTGCCCACGGTGTGCGGCTCGACGGTGGAGACGCCGGGATTTGAACCCAGAGCCCCCCAGCTGCCTGGCCAACAGTCTCACCCGGCCCAGCCTGTGCTGCCCTCTCCCGCCAGGGAGCCAGCCAAAGCTGGCTGGTCTGTGTGGGGCTTGGGGAGCCTCCCGGGTCCAGCTGGGGTCTTGGGGGAGCAACACGGGTCCTCCCCAGAGCGGGCTGTCGCGGCTACATCCGCGAGAATGGGTGTCGTGTTTTTAAAGATTCACCGAGGAAACGGGAAATAGTCAATATGCACCCAGGAGACCCTGGGTGGCCCCCTGCACCCCCTCAGTTCCTGACCTCACCCCAGGTTCTCCTGGAGTCTGTCTGTCCTCTGTGGTTTCCTACCGTCCGTCAGGGAAACCGTACGTGTGGCGTCTGAGGACTCGTCGTTAGAACCGTCTCTGGGGTCTGTCCTCACCCAGCCCCGCCCCCTGTGCACCCCAGAAATGGCCTCCAGCCGCAGGCTGGGTGCCCCCACCCCGACTCCCTTAGCCTGAGGCATCCCATCCTGTCTCCTCCTCACCGTTCTTCTCTGGCCCCAGCGTGGGCGTAAAAATGCCGAGAGTTGCGGGCACATGCAAGGCCGGGGCTGAGCTGCCCATCAGAGCGATGAGGGGCGCCAGCATGCTCCCCCACGCGAGTGGTGACCACACACGTCCACCCCCTGCTCAGGCCGTGGCCTCGAGCTGGCCGCCCGCGGTTGGGGTGGGAGGGGCGGACGCCTCCAATCACAGACCCAGAAACCACTGGCCGACCGTCCACGGCTCACCTTGAACAGCCACCGGCCGAAGAGTTTCTTGACCAGGCGGGTGCCCCAGAAGACGTGCCTGTAGAGGCCGGTGTCCACCACGCCGGGGTCCGCGGCGTTGGCCGTGACGTGGCTGCCCTGGGCCGCCAGGAGGCGCTGCAGGTGGTAGGTGAAGAGCACCAGGGCCAGCTTGCTGCGGGCGTAGGCGCCGTGCGGGGAGTAGCAGCGGCTGGAGGGAAGGAAGGAAGGAAGGAAGGAGGGAAGGAAGGAAGAAAGGCGAACAGGCAGGCGGTGAGAAAGCTTTCTTCGCTTCCCTGTCCCCGCCCACCCGCGTACGTGCACGATCGGGCCCCTCCCACGCACCCCGGGGGCGTTTGCAAATTCGTTGTCCCATCTCCCTAGGAGGGCAGATATTTTAAATGCACATTTTATCCCAAACGGGGCTTCTCTGCACGAACGCTCCGTGGACGCCTGATACTCCCCTTTGTGTTGCAAAGGCCTCGCAGACACATCGGCACCCGTGGGGGCCGGTTACCAGCAAAAACAGCCACGGAAGGAAAGAGGGGGCCACCCACCCACCCGGCGAGCACCCCCTTGCACAAAGCCCGGGAGGGGGGCTTGGAGAACGCAGCAGCGCCGGCTCTGGCGTCCCGCCCCCGTTCCTGATCACGGGGTGTAAACGCACCAATCCCAACGCCTCACTCTCGGACCCCCCCCCCATGAACGCCCAGTCCCTGGTTCACCGTCTCTGCCCACGAGCTCGCTGCGGCCCCCAGGCGCGGGCCGTGACGTCCGCGCTGCCTCCCGAGGAGTGAAACCAGCGTGGACACTGGGGTTTCTCGAGATGGGCTGGGTCCCACCCACCCCGGGGGGCCAGAGACCTTTCGTGGGGGCCTCTGTTCGTGAAAGTCCGTGGGGGTGCTTTCCGGGCACCAAGCGACCATCCACACCTGTAACGGGTCCGTGTCTGCTGCAAAAACACGCCAGCTCTCCCACGGTGCGGTCACACGAGTACAGATGCCCGAGTAGCTCACGCGTGTTACAGACGTGTTCCTGTGTGCTGTGCCCGGCTGATTTTTTTTTTCCTCTTTGATTTTTCCGTGCTGGGGAGACTCGACTCTGCCTCTGCGTGACCCCGGGTGTGACACAGAACGCCCGGGTCGTCTTTGTTTTGCCGCCTCTGGCTGACGACCGTGCCATTGGGCACACAGGTGCGGAGACCCAGGACACGTCCATGCTGCCGGGTGGCCGTCACGTGCTGCGTCCCGAGAGCATTTTTGTTCTTCCCAGGTCACGTAGCCGATGGCAATGCAGCCCCTGGCTTACATCTGCTTTGACCGCGCCCAAGTCCCACGGCCTTGACCTTTCCAAGCTGAGTGGAATCTGTTATTTAAATGACGAGAAAATCCATGCGTGTAACTCATCGCAGTAAGCATCGGACATTCAAGTATTTTTGAAAAGTGCCTCGGCTGGGGTGGCTCCGTGGATTGGGCACCGGCCTGCGAACCAAAGGGTCGCCGGTTCGATTCCCAGGTGGGGCACGTGCCTGGGTTGCAGGCCAGGTCCCCAGGAGGGGGTGCTCGAGAGGCAGCCACACATTGATGGTTCATTCTCTCCCTTTCTCCCTCCCTTCCATTCTCTCTAAGAATAAATAACATCTTTTTTTTTAAGATTTTATTCATCCATTTTTAGAGAGGGAGAGGGAGAGGGAAAGAGGGAGAGAGAGAAACATCAGTGTGCAGTTGCTGGGGGTCATGGCCTGCAACCCAGGCATGTGCCCTGACTGGGAATCGAACCTGGGACACTTTGGTTCACAGCCCGCGCTCCATCCACGGAGCTACGCCAGCCAGGGAGAACACAGATATTTTAATAAATGGTTCAAACGGTGTCAAAACACAGATCTGAAACCATACCAAAAAACTCATCATTTTTAATAAATAAAGACTGACTGATGGGGCCGCTTGGAGAAAAAGCAGGAGCCCCATCCAAAGCCAAAGTGGCGAGCGGCACGGATGGCGGCCTTGGGTGGAAAAAACCTTTCTCCTCTCCCTTTGGGCTCCGTGGCTGGATTTTGCACACCAAAGGGCGGTGAACAGGAGAAAACCTACACGTTAGCTTCAGTTCAGTGTAAGGTGGGGGCGGCTTCCTAGGGGGAAAAAAAAGCGTGGAAAGCTGGAGAGACAATTAGATTCGACGGTACCTAGGCTATTTGGGAAAGGGGGTCATTGTTCGGGTGTGGGTAGGGGCAGGAAGGGGAGTTTGGTCTTCTCGGGGTGCTCCGTGTGTGGAGATTATATATATCTATGTATGTGGAATTCGTGGCAATGCTCATTTCTCCGCAGTTTCAGAACTTAGATAAAAGAAGCTTCTTTTCCCCTTGCATTTGTGGGTTCTTAACACCCGCCCACTGAAAACACTCTTTACGCCACCACTGGCTTGTCTGGGGGCGGCTCACTCTGACCCCGAAGACTTCCTCTGCGTTTCCGGCCCCAAGGAGCAAAGAAGAGTCACTCTGTTTTGAACGCCACGCCTGCATTTCTGTGAACAGACCCCACGGTGCAAAAATGGGCAGGGCGCACCCCGCGGAAAGCCGGGGACAGCAGTACGATCAGCGGGGGGTGGGTGCTGGGCTTCCGGGCGCCCGTGTCTGCTGTAAGGTGCAGGGGGTTTGCTTGGTCCCCATCAGGCACCACTCCGACAGTCTCCCCCAGCTCACGGCAGCGACGGGGACACAGCCGAGGTCACCGCTGAGGGGACACAGGCGAGGGGACCACTCTCTTAGCAGCATGCCGGGGAGGCAGTAGGCCGCACATTGCCATGGCGCCAAGGCCTCTTGACGTCCTCGTTTAAAAAGAGAAAAAAACAAACTAGGTGCGCCCCCCCCCACCCCCGCCGCCCCCCGAGGACCCTTCGCAGGAGGACTGGACTCCAAGGACTGCGGAGCAACGTGGGTGAGTCCTGGGACACGCAAAGGCTGGCTTCCCAGGGCACGTCCTTGAGGCAACGTGCGTGGTTCTGGAGAGCACCTGTCAGGTTGCATTTCCTGCCTGGTGTCCGTGCCCCCGGAAACCACGGGGTTTGTCAGCAGGGACTTAAAGGGATGAAACAAGCAGAGACAACGGAGGCGTGTCGCAGAGGGAGGTCGGTCACGTCGTACCTCAAAGGGAAGAGGCCCACCCAGGGCCTCCCTGCGGCCCGTCGTCCTCGTCCTCTGGGCTCAGAGACTCCACAGGGTGAGCGTCTCGGGGTCCCACAGACCTCAGAAGCCTGGGTATAGGAGACCCACACAGTAGAGGGGTTAAAACCACACACATTCATGCTTCCCCGTCCTGGAGACCAGGCGTCTGAGGTCACCCAGGGGTCCCAGGGCTGTGTCCCCTCCACAGGCTCCAGGGAGGACCCTTTCCCCCTCTTCCAGCTCCAGGGGCTCTGGGTGTCCCCCGGGCTAGTGGCCGCGTCCCTCCCGTCTCTGCCTCCATCTCCACGTGGCTTCTCCTCCGGGTCTGCGTCTCCTCTTCTGTCCCTTCTCAGGACACCGTCACTGGACGCAGGGCCACCCTGACCCAGGACGGCCTCCTCTCAGACCCTTCCCTCATTTTGTCTTCGGAGACTCTATTTCCACATCAGGTTCTGTTCCCAGGTCCTAGAGGCTGGAACTGAAACTCGTCTTAAACGTGGGGCGATGGGACACGGAGGTACCAAACCTTTTCTTTTCACGTTGAGCGGTTTTTTATAGGAACCAACGCCGTGCCCTGTGCACGCACGAAAGAGTGTGCATGCTCCCCTCTCGCTGACTGACGATGAGGTTCAGCTCACGCGGTGTTTGCCGGAGGACTTGTTGTTGACCAAGATGTTGGCCGGGTGACGGCAGCTCTCGACGCTGTCCACTGCGGTCACGGTTCTAGTCTGAGAGCGCTCCCATGGGTGACCGTGCACCCAACGTGGCATTTCCATAGTAGCAACCGGGCAGCGCGCCATCGGGGTAAGTTGAGGCAGCGGTGCGCGTGGTCATCCACACGCCTCCCTATGCCGTGGTAACGGGTGGGCGTGGCTAAGGCGCTTAAACGTGGGACTGCGAACCAGTAAACGGTTCGTGGACATTGTTAGCACGATCACAAGGAGACGGGTTTACAAAAAAAGTGGCCGGTGACGCGCGCCCTGCTGCTTTGATTCCGAGGGCTCTGCCCTGCGTGTCGCGGCGCCGCCCAGATCAGGGGACCTGGAACGAGGCCCCACCTGCTGTGGGAGCACAGACCCACCTGCTCTGAAGGTCGTCCAGGTCCAGCTCGCCGACGTAGTGCGTGGCTGACGACACGGTGACCACCCTGGCGCTGCGGCCGGGGCATCCTGACTCCTGGAGGGTGTCCAGCAGCAGGTTGGTGAGCAGGAAGTGTCCCAGGTAGTTCAGGCCGAAGTGCTCCTCGAATCCGTCCGCGGTCTTTCTCTGCGGGACCATCATCACGCCGGCTGGGGACACAGGGGGGTGCAGGGGGGGCGTGAGATGGGCCCAGATGGAGAAGTCGTCTCCCGACCCTGGGGAGGGGGGCGGGCTGGGAAACAGCCCTGCGCTCCAGCAGGATCCTCGCTGGCCCTGGCTGCTAGAGCACCTTCCTGGGCCTGTGGAGCCTCAGAAGAAGACACCTGCTCAGGAGAGGTCACGGGGCTGGAACTTCAAAGCAGAGCCGCGCAGCCACTTCTGCAAATGCGCTTCTTCTGCACACCGCGCGTGCGCCAGGGAGCGCCCCCCCCGCGCTGAGCACCCCTTATAAAGCAGTGCCTGGAATCCTATTTCGACCAATAGGGCTTAGACTCTCCCCGACCAATCAGAGCTGCGCAGGGGTACCCTCATCAGCATCTTCACTGAGCTCCCGCCCTAGCTCTATTCTGGCCAATCAGGACAGGGCCTTTTGGACCAATCATACTGCAAACATTTGGAGCCTTCATTTGCATGACAACGGACCAATCGGAGACTGGGGGTGGAGACTTGTGTCTATAAAAGTGAGGTCCCCCCTGCGCTGCAACTCGGTTGAGCTATTTTGCGCTGAATGAAGTTTATGTGTTTTCTAATCTAATGCTGGGGACTCCAATCCGTGTTACATTGGGGCCAACTGATAGTTGATGCTCCTGGGCCTGCGTGCCCTGCTCTGTCCGTGGTGGGGCGAAGCCTCCCCGTTCTAAAATTCCGACCTTTTGTGTATGTAGTTATTAGGGTAACAGCGGCCGTGATAAAGCGGTAGGCAGCAGGCGTGCGAAAGTGACAACCCCCTGGCTCGCATCACCGGGTGTCCCTCAGGGAAGTTAATATTCTGGCCAGCGCAGCGGTGTGCGCGAATACAGGGAGGGCCCCCCCCAACTGATGATCTGGGCGGGCTGGCTCAGCCCTGTTGGGGTGCTGATGTCCTACGCCCCGTGCGGTTGGGCGTGTGGCCACGGCACTCCCATTCACAGGGTCCCCCCAAAACGAATTCACCCCCATGGTGCCCTGCGCGGCAGGCGAACCTGTGTGTTCACAAGGACTGTGCACACCCCAGGCCCCAGGGCAGCCGCACGGGACGTGATCCCGTGAACACGTCCTGTACCCCAGGCTCACAGCGGCCCCCTCCCTGCCGAATGAAGCCCGGTTGTATCGGGACTCCCGGTGTCCCGACGGAGGCGTGTGCCAGACACAGCCACAGTCCTGCTGCTGAGTCACCTCGAGCGGGGCGGCTTGATCCGACGTGTGTCTGTCTGCGTGGGTATGCATTTGTTCTGTGCATGTGTTCTTTTATGCATATACGTGCGTGTGTATTTCCTATGTGTATACACGCATGTGCATTTTCTCCTACAGGCAGATGGATTCCCACATACACACACGTTTTTTTTCTGTGGAGCAGTGAGTTTGCATTCATTTTATCTGGCACGCATAGGACAGGCATGTCTGAATTTGCATAATAACATATGCATATAAAATGCATAGGCATTTCTGTTTGTGCCCGCGTTTGCCTAAGTAAGTGTGCTCGTATCTGGAACTCCCGCTTCCTTCTCCAAAACAGCGTTTTTGGGGGAGGATGGGAAGAATCAAGACCACCTTCTGTGACAGCCACGGGCAGGGCATCTGGTCGACCATCCCCACTGAGCCGGGATGATGGGCAGTACCCCTGCCCGCCATGGGAGGGAGCCATCCCGCACATGCGCTCTGGCTTCCTTCCCCATTTGGGGCTAAAACGGTCCAAACTCCTGTGTCCCCCCGTCTTGTAAACAAAAGCACATAGTGGTTTGGAGCCCCTGGGGTTGGGGGCGGTGTGTCACCCACTAGCGTCCCTGGGATTGTCTGTGCGTCTAAATGATGCATTTCCCGTTAGGCAGCCCTGACTTGGGGGGCGGGTAAGCCACCAACACACAGTCTTGAGACACGAAAATTCACGGGTAATGCCCCCCTTAAATGAGTAGGGGAGTTGGGGAGGGGATGTGGGGCTCCACGGGGATTCCTGATTGAATTTTGGGGTGTTAACAGGGGCAGGTTCGTAAGGCTTCAGTCTGGTTTGATGGGGCTGGAAGGCTCACTAAAAATTCACAATTGTAGGGTGTGCATAATCAGGCTGGTCTGGTCCCTTCAGGGTGACCCTTGGGAGCTGGGGTGGCTCAGGCTGCTTGTCCCTCGTCCCGGTGGCCTCGCTCTCGCCGTGCTTGGGTAGCAGAGGACAGAGGCAGGGGGCCCGGTCACACACACCTTGGCACAGGTACGCCCCTTGGCATCGCGGCGGCTGGGGTCTGACCATCTGCCCCTGTGCGTGTGTGTGTGTGAGGGCCCCCCGTGGTCAGGGATAACGGGTCACCGGAGCTGAAGGACACCCACCCCTATGTCCCCCCAAGGCTTCAAATGCCTTACTCATCCCGTGTCCGTCCCGTTCCCCAGCAGTAATGGACGTGCCTAGGCCCCGGGGCGGCCGCGCTGGAGAGACGCCAGCGGGCGTGTTTGTTCCATCCGAGCGCCGGTGCCAGAGCGTACGTAGGGCGAACTCCCGGGGCCCGATGCTAAGATTTTGACAAGGGCGACGATCTGGGCCAAGGCCGAGTTCAAGGTGCCTCGGAACGTCCCCAGGCGCGACCTGAGAGCCTGTTCCCTGTGTGAACGGCGGCGTGGGGAGAGCGGGTTTTCCCAGCAGCCGCTGCCCTGCCGGCAGCCGGCCGTGTCCTCGGCTTCCGAAGCGTCCACCGGGCGGTGGGCTCCTCCCGGGGTGCGGGACCAGGAGCCAGTGCGGGCTGCCGCCGTAGCACTGGCCGGCCTCGGCACTCGGGGTGCATTTCCCAAATGGGCTCATGAACAAGGACCTTTAGGGGAAACTGGGTTCTGTAGGCATCAGGCCGGGCACGCGTCTCTGGGGAGGAGGAAAGCTAACCGTGGCTCCTTCTTGATCTCGGGCATCTCATCCCCTAGCGTTACGGGAAGAGATCCTACAGACATAAAACATGAAGTCTGGTGCCATTACTAAAAACCGGTTCGTGGCCACAGCCGGGGTGAGGAACTAGAGAAATAAAACTGGGGTGTGGAAAACCTATAGATGCGGACCCAGCTCGGGAGGCGGTCGGCTGTGGATTTCTCTTACGTTTGCTCAACTGCCAGCCTCGCTCCTGGGCCTCCGGGGCCAGCGAGAGGCCGTCTGCTTCTGTTCTCCTCACGCGAGCAAGTGTAAAAATAGTTCCTTGTTTCAAACCCTTAACGTTGGCGACATCTTCCTCGGTCTCTTGAAGGCTCTCGCCCTAAGTAAAATAAGTCAGACCGAAGGAGCTACAAATCCTATTGCACACACATGCGGGATAGAAAACCAAAAGCCACAAACGAACAAAAAAGAAAAATAGATACTCATAGACTCAGACAACAGCCTGAAGGTCGCCAGAAGGAAGGGGGAGGGGGTAGTAAGGGTTACAGGGGGTCAAATGTACGGTGATGGCAGGAGGCTACGCTTCGGGTGGTGAGCCCACGATGCGACGGACAGAACTTGTGTCCCAGAATCGTGCCCCCGAAACCTATATCATCTTCCTCACCATGTCACCCCAGTGAATTTCATTTCAACGTAAAAGAAGTCCTCTGGCTGGCGCGGCTCAGTGGATTTGAGCACTGGCCTGTGAACTGAAGAGTCGCAGGTTCGATTCCCAGTCAGGGCACATGCCTGGGTTGCAGGCCACGGCCCCCAGCAACCGCACATGGATGTTTCTCTCTCTCGCTCTCTCTTTCTCCCTCCCTTCCCTCTCTAAGAATAAACAAATAAAATCTTTAAAAAATACATTAAAATCAACGATGCGCACAACCCAAGCCAAGCATGCGAATGGAACAAAAGCTCATGAGGCAGTAAGCGCGTGCATTCCTGAATGGCCTCGGAAACTCCTGCTCTCCCGAAGTTCTCCCCTCACGGGGCGGTGGTGGGGTCCTGCGTCCGTGTCCGAACCGCCCCTGGGAATTCGCCGGAACTCGCCGGAACTCACCGTTGTTGACCAGCACGTGCAGAGGGATCCTCTTCGCCTTGAACTTGCGCACGAACTCGCGGATGGACTCCAGAGACGCCAGGTCGCAGTATAAGAACTCCACTGAAAAGGCACAGAAATGCCGGGTTACCTCCCTCCCGCGCGCACACAGGTGATGTCTAAGCAGGTCCTCTTGTGTCCCACCCGGGGAGTGCCGGTGGGTCTGAGACAGGAGGGACGGGCCGTAGCGGGATGCTCGGTGAGTGACCACATCGGACCCCCTCCTTGAACGCAGGGGGGACCCGTGCCTGGCTTCTCCTCCATAGGGTACGGCGGACATTGGGGTGTCAGCCCCATGACTGGGTTCGTTCGTACGGCAAACAGCATGTGATGTGACCCCCCTAGACTACAACTCAGGGGGCGAAGACTCCCTCTCGCCAGCCAGCCGGACGGACGGACGGACGCGGACCCTCCCGCTCCCCTTGAGGCTGCAGCTGGCGTGACAGAAGGCAGCTCGGGGTGGGGCCTGGGAGCTGGGAGCTGCCCGCGGCCACCTGCCGGCCGGAAGGCCAGCAGCTCAGACCTACGGCCTCTAGGCCCCGAATGCCTCCCACGACCGCACGAGGTTGGGGGAGAGAATTCTCGGCCACGGAGGGAGACTCACACCAGACACGTCTCCAGAGCTGGGGACAGTTTCCCCCGCGACCCCGCAGCCGTGGGGTCCTTGGACCGGTTGCATCTGCTTTGCTGAGGGGTCATTTCGGGTTTCCAGGCTGAGCTCTCGATAACACGCTCCCGTGGATGGCTGTGGTCTGGGGACCCCCGAGCAGAGGACAGCATGGCGGCCCCCCCCCCGACCAAGGACAAGCACCCACTGTGACATGTGACTCCACAGTGGACACGAGAATGAGGTTTTGTTGTCGTGTGACCACTGGCACATCGCTGGAAACACCACCACAGCCAAGAGCTGGTCAAAACCTGGAACCCGGGACGGCGTGTTTGGTCAAAGGATCACATCCCTTTTCGCTCGGAAGGGACAGCTTTATTGATGCATGTGTTGGCTTGTTTTTATTTTCGACCCTCATCCAAGGATGCGTTTCTCGACTTGAGCGAGCGAGGAAGGGAGGAGGAGAGGCAGAGAGGGAAAAAGACGGAGGGGAAGAGAATACCATTCATCCCTTCCCTCTGTTGGCGCCGTGACTGGGGATTGAACCCACAACCTTCCCGTGCACAGGGCGGTGCTCCAGCTGAACCTCCAGCGGGGGCTGCGAGGGATGGTTGGTTGTCACAGAATTCCCTTGCCCGGCTTCTCTGGTGTGCAACAATGCAGCAGCCCATGGGTGCCCAGTGACCCGGCCCCCGAGGACAAAATCGTCGCTATTTTCCTTGAGGAAACACGGAGGAAGGGGGTGGGAGGTTCCTCCATCAGAGACCCCCGCAGCGCGGTCAACCGACCAGCGCCCCCCTGCGCACCAGCCATTATCCGTCTGCCCTAAGATACAGTCAGATATCGACAAGAAGCGTTTAGACAAAAATAACACAAACCCATTCATTTTATGTTTGCTGAATCCACTGATTAAAAAAAAAAAAAAAGCAACCCAGGGAGCTTCCCTTTTTGCATGCGATTAGCATTCATTTTCCCCAGCAATCCGTTTCCACGCGCTCCCTACGAGAGAGAGCCGCCGCTGCCAGATCCCAGACGCGGCAGGCAGCCGTGCGGCGCGGGCTCACCGTCGGGACGCGCGGCTCTGCGCCTCGGCGCCATCTGGGTGGGAGTCCCCGACGCGCCGTCTGGGTTTCCCTGCAAACACGGGCGCGCGCGGCGGGGAGGGCGAGGTGGGGGGGGGACACGAGAGGGAGGCCCTCGCACCTGCTAGTGCCGGGAACCGATGACGCCAGCGCTGGCGGACGCGCGCGCTCGGTTTCCAGAGCCCCAGCCACGTGCTGGGGTGGTTGGCAAAGTCAGAGGGTGCTGCTCCCGTGCCTGTGGGGGGAGCGGTTCCGAGCTCCGGCTGTCTACATCCGCGCAGAGATGCGCGGGGTGTGGGGGGGCAGCCCTGCCCTCCACGGGGGCGTGACATCCCCAGGAGGGGGCGGGGCACAGGGAATACACCCCCAGGCCGAGCCTGACGCTGTCGAAGGGAACTCCACACGGCTCTCTCCCCGAGAACAAGAACACGCGAGGCGAGCCGCAGGGGGTGCACGCGGCAGGGTCGACCTTGGGCCGGACGCTGCGGGTCTCGCTGGCTCGCGGCTCCGCGGTGACTTCCCCCTAAACCCAAGCAGGGGCGGCAATCACAACCAGGGCGCAGGGTCAGGAGGCGCAGGGGTAGCCGATGCGCCTGCGCTCCTGGAGGGGGAGGGAGAAGCGTTTTACGTATGCAGTGCGGGGAACAATGCCCCCATTTCTAGCTGGGTAATTCGAGAGATGGAAACGGTGGGAGGCCGGTCAACGGGCCGTAGGAGACAAGACCTGGGACGTGAGCCCGCCACGCGGACACACGGGAAGCAGGAAGGACACCCGTCGCCCAAGGAACAGAAACAAGAGACGCAGGGGCCCGCGGACGGGGGGGCACGGCTGGAGAGAGTAGGCGTGAGCTTCGTCCGTGGCCACGAGACAAACCAAAGGGCACCCCTGTTGGGGAACCACCCTCGCAGCCGTGGGCGGTGAGGCTCAGTGGCTTGGGCGTCATCCTGCACACCGAAAGGCCGCAGGTTCGAATCCCGGTCAGAGCAAGGGGCACCCGGTGCCCGGGTGGCGGGCTGGGCCCTCTCTTTCTCCCTCCCTTCCCCTCTCTCTGGAATCAACAAAAGGCAAAAAAAAAAAAAATTAATAACAATTTGTAAAAAAACACCACAGTCAAGAGTGTGTGAAAAGAGAGAATGCTACTTGGACGCTGATGATGCACTTTTCAGCGGAGGGTCAGCAACGAGAAGGTTGGATACAGAGTGTTGGTGGGTAACGGTGCAGGGACCCCATGTGCTGACCACGGGTGCCAGACGTCTCGGGGGGCGGGGGGAGCACTTCGTAGGCCGCCCACATGTCCCATCGCTATGTGGCGGAACCTCACCGAACGTCATCTTGTGTGCCTTCTTTTCTTTTCCGTTTTTTAGCTGCTTTTGATTTCGTGCGGTGTGTGCGCGCCGGAACGGAAACAGAGTTTTAAAAACTTTTTTAAAAAGGCTGGAAAGCGTCGGGACAGGGAAGCAGGCTTGGCCTGACTCGTGCAGGACACGCAACGTTCAAGACGCCTGCCTGCAGACTGCATCGTGGGGTCTGGCCCCAAGGCTCCTCCGTGGCGATGACGCAGGAGAACCCCTGAGACGTCTTCCACGTGTCGCTTCACAAGAAGGCAAACAGACGGCATTCCACCGGGGCCCGGAGAAACAAACGTATCGGACGAGGCCTCGCGGGCAAATTTAAAACCACGGACACGTCCCTCCCCTCGGAGAAGATTTCTAAATTATCGCCTCCCACGTCTCGCCGCGCTAATAACACGTTCCATCTATATAGCCCGAGGGTGGGCATCTCAAGGCAATGAATGCATCTCCGAGAAACTGCCGCTGGTTACGGCGTCGTCAAGGAAATGAGGGCGCATCAGGCCAGCGAGTCGGCAAGAAATGGAGAAACGAGGCAAGGGGGGCGTTCAGGAAAGGAGGCGGGGGGGGGGCCCAAGGGTGCCTTAGCAGGTTCCTGCCAGCCCTCAGACCCCAGGAAGTCCCACCCACGCCGGCTGACTCCGGGCACGCCAAGGGGGTTGTTTCCTGGCGCTTGGCAGTGCACCAGGCAGAGGAGGAGAAGAGACCCAGGGCCACAGAGAGCAGATAAAAACATCACGACACAGCTGTCTGTTGCAAAACGAGCTTCCACCGGGATAAGCAAAGCAGGCGTGTGGAGCACCGGGGGGAAAAACGTAACATAATTCCAAGAGAGAGCTTATTGGTTCGGAGTCCTGTTCCGCCCCGACCCCCAGCAAAACCTGCTTAAAATACGGCAGGAGCCGCCGGCCCCCCCAGGAGCTGTCTCGCACGTTGGGAGCCTCCTACCCGTGGGTGTTCAAACAGGACAAAGTCACCCGTGCGCGGGGCCGAAAGCCACCCTGTGTCCGTCCCACAGAGCTGTCTGCAAAGGGGACAGGGGAGCAGACGGGGTGACGCCTGGACGGAGGAGCCCAGGACGGAGCATGAGACATGCCGTGGAGAACCAGCCACGCAGGCACGTGCCCTGGCCCAGGATCGAACCCCCGACCTTTCGGTGTGCGGGGCGATGCTTCGGTGCACTGAGCCTCCCGGCCACGGCCAATGTCTTTCTCACGGGATTCCACTGTTGCTTCCTTGGTCTCGGATCCAGCCAGACCACAACTTCCAACAAACTGGGTTTTGCTGCATATGACATGCCAGAGAGAGAGAGAGGGAGAGAGAGAGAGGGAGAGAGAGAGGGAGAGGGAGAGGGAGAGGGAGAGGGAGAGGGAGAGAGAGGGGAGAGAGAGAGAGAGAGAGAGGGAGAGGGAGAGGGAGAGGGAGAGGGAGAGAGAGAGAAACATCAGTGTGAGAGAGAAGCACTGATCAATTGCCTCCCTCATGTGCCGTGACTAGGGATCAAACTTGCAACCTAGGTATGCGTCCTGACTGGGAATCGAACCTGCGACCTTCGGGTGCACGGGACGACGCTCCCATGGGCGGAGCCACTCGGCCAGGGCTGACCCATGGAAATCCTTGTGTGATGGGCCGTGAGTTCTGTCCCGGGAGACCTAGGAGACACCTGGCCCCCTGTGGGCGTCTCTCTCCAGGACGAAACCCAGTGAGGGGGGCAGCGTGTTCTTCCCACAACTCCTTCTGCATTCGCCCTCCCAGGTGGGGGCGGACCCCCACCTTTCTGCAGGGGAAAGAAGGGGCAAGGCGCTGGGGCTCAGGCAGAGACACACGGAGAAGCCAGCACCGCTGTCACGGCACAGGGACACACGGATCTGCCTTCCCGGTTGCCTTCGGGTCCCACAGCCCAAGCGCCGGCTCGGTGTCCACCCGGGTATCCTCTCCCGTCAGCGCTGAGAGCCCCCTGAGCGGGCAAGGCTGGACCCAGGGCCGACACCTGGGGAGGGGTGGGGACAGGGGCGGGAGGGGAG